TTATTATTATTATTATTATTATTATTATTATTATTATTATTATTGCGTTTGACTTTCACCTATTACAAGTTTTAATTGACAAGCGGGTTAGGAATATAAATAAAAAAGTAATAATATACTTGCCTTGGATACGTCGGTAAGCGTAGAATATTCTGAAGTGATTCACGAAAGATTTATTGATTAAAGAATGATACATACGCTTTTTGTCGTTCTAAATTCGTATTTGAATACATATAATTCAAATCTTCGATGATTCAAAACTTCGACCGCGAATTGCGTAACATATCGAGATAGGTGTCGCTGAAGCCACTTACCACGAAAGTACATCATAAACGCAAAGTAAATAAAAATTAAGTGTTAAATATCGAAACAAAAGGGAATTGTATTCGATATGCGTATTACGAGTATACTTTTGTACAAGGTTCACAATATTCCATATAGATTTCGTGGGTATGTACAAATCACTCGTTTTGATAAAATTCTAAGGTTACCTTTTACTTATTCGATCACTATACATATTTTTTTTATTATGTCGTGACAATTCACTAATAAGTACAGCATAAAACACATAATGTAGTGTCTAATACGGTGCTGTTACCGCAAAGAAAATATCATTTAAACAAATTAATTTCTAACCTACCGTAGCACTAGGACCTAAGGTTATATTTGTTGCAACTGCATTATCGTAAACACTATTATTAGCAAGAATTTCATTTAAATATTATATTTTGTACAGGAAACACGGTATACGTAAAAAACCAACATTGAGAGATATTTTTCAATTCAAACGGGATCTTGAAAGGGAAGAAGCGAATATGTTGATATTAAGGCATCCTTATCTTACTACGGAGCAATCAAATGGTCATATGAGTCATCTTAAGCAAGAGAAGATTATAAATCTGATGACAAAATTCAGAGAAGATGCAAATGCGAAATTTAACAGAAAAGTTACTATCATGGATCGGTTAGGTCATTTGAAAGTATCCGAATCTTGGGATTAGTATTTATTTTCTAATTGGGTACAATTTGTTTGCTATTTTGTTAAAAGTAAAGAATTGTGTTAAATAAAAACGTACGATGTATCTACAATATAATTGTACAAAAGCTAAACATAGTATTACGTTAGGCTCGGTTTTATTTAGAAGTTCTAAAAAAATAGATTATAGAAATACAAAATGCATTATAGAATTCAATATCAAGGTCCTGGTATGAGAATTTCATTTAAATAATTTTTATATGCTTTCGACTCATGGATCTACGATAGTTTCAGTTTTGAATCTAGTCTCTAAATCCTTCGGTTTATTTCTTATCCAAACAAATGGATCTCGATCGACCTCCGCTTCTGTTAGTATGTTCCCTTCGTGCAGGAAATTTGCAAAATCTGCTGCTACAGGATCTGCTCCGATGCTACTTACAGCGATAACTTTACCATTTTTAATGTAATATGCAAAAAATTCCAAGTTCTCTAGGGAACCATAAATTCTTACTTTCTCTGGTTTTCCGTATCCTGTGGAATTTTCAATAATTATCATGAAGATATAACGTTTCATCTCTCTTTTACATGTATTATATGTAAAAGCATAACGTACCGACGTATCTATAACTCTTCCCGAATAGCGTTGTCCAGAAAAATGGTATGGCACTTACAGCGGTAGTTTTACCACATATATTTAATGCTGCTATTTTACCATGGTAATGGGCCAACGAATAGTGGCCTATTGCAGCTGAAATGTCATCGGAACCAAATAGCGGTGCATACGCTATATCACCACCTGCATATATGTTTTCAACGCTTGTTTTCAAGTACTGAAATTATACATAGAATTTTATGTTTCCTAAATTTGATACTTCGATTCGTTCACTGTTGAATAACAATCTACCTTATCCACTACGATACTGCCATCTTGTAACATTTTAATAGGAGTATCCTTTATCCAATCTGTATATAATTTAGATCCAATTCCAATGATCACTATATCAGCAGGAAGGGCTTCGCCATTGGTAAGTACAACTGTACCTACAGCATTCTTATCATCATCTTTTGCAACAAACTGTGTGATATTACGTTCAAATATAAATTTAACGCCTTGAAAAAACAATATTGATTAGTTTTTACCTAACTTGATACAAATCAGATACGGTATAGCACATGGATATTATTGATATACTTTAGTACCTTGTTCTTCAAACTGGCGTTTGATTCTGTTACCAATTTCTGTACCAAAAACTGTTTGTAACGGAACTGTAGACCTTCCTATGATGGTGACAGATGCACATTTATTTATACAATAAGCAGCAGCTTCCATACCAATGAAACCTAATCCGAGTATTACAATATGTTTGTCTGATGATAATTTGGAGGATATAGCATGAGAGTCTGTGTAGTTTCTTAATACATAAATGTTAGATAAATTAATAGGTATATCAGGTTTTCTGGCCATACTTCCGGTACAAATAAATAGATAATTGTACGTTAATCTTTCGTTATTACTTAAATGGACAACATTGTCATTTGTATTTAATCCTGTAATGAATTTTGTTATAAAATTTGATCATATTTTATGTCAAAAAAAGGATAGTTTGTGTTAACTTTTTCATTTTTTTACCTGTAGCTTCTACACCCAGTTTGGTTTCGATTTTATGCTCTTTGTAAAACGAAAGTGGTCTCAAAACTGCTTTTTCAATGTCTATATCAAATGTTTTGGATACCTTTACCCTATCATATGGCACTGTGTTCTCCTTACAGACCATAATAATATTTCCTGTGAAGGCTTCCTGTCGCAAGCTTTCTGCACAAATTGCAGCTGCTGGACCACCTCCAACTATTACGACGGTAGTATTATTATTGGGATCTTGTTCACACATCTTCTTGACCCTTCTATTGAATTCTAAATCCTTACGCCTTGCTTTCACACGTACAAGACCACTATCATCCACGTTTACCTGTTTAATTAAAATTTAAATTTTATTTTATCAAGATTAAAAGTTAAACATATATGTTCACTAAATTACTTGGTAACATGGTAAAGAATCCAATCCTGGGTAATCTTCTATATCTCCTGTTTTGATATTAAAACATGCACCATGCCATGGACACCTTATTCTTCCATCTCCTAGCGCTCCTGTATGAAGTAATGCTCCGTAATGCGTACATTTTGTACCAATAGCATGTAATTCCCCCTTTTGTTTAATCAACAAGACTTTTGCCCCACTTTCTCCAAGTGGCAATAGTTTCATTTCATTTTCTTTGATATCCGTTTTATTACACACCACATCTTCAACATAGTCATACTTCTCTGGTTTACCTAAGTAAATATGAATTATTCAAGTAAAAAATCTACTTATGTCAATTTGTAACTGGAATAGATTTAATATTTTTCTTTTTTTATTTAATTTGGTAAAATATTTTGAAATATTCTAAATGTCAATATAACTGCATATTGATAAATTAATTTCATTAGATTTTTCATTAGATACGTTGGCGTGCAAATGGCAAGTCCTTAACTCACAACTGCAACAACATTTTGCTTTATTATGCGACCGCCTAATATCTTCGATTTCATTGTTACACTCACTACAAATGTGAATTTTCCTTTTCTGTAATTCTGCCATTCTTCCGTTATTTATTTTCCCACTAACGTGAAATATTGAGTTAAACGATAGTTTCGTACATTGTTTCGCAATGAATAAGCGCATACTGTCAAGTCGTTCTGCTATTATTCACCGCAACTATTCGTCAATGTTACTTAAACATTTATAGATTAGTCATTAAATGAATTGTAACTTTAAAATGGACTTTTTGTCATAAAGAGAAGTATAGTGAAACTATTCGAAGGTTCCTTCAAGTACACGCACACATAAAACCATTGATGTTGCAAAACAAGATATTGTAACACATGCAATACATTCTGTCTTATTTTAATGTATTGCAACAAATTATCGTGTCTAGCTTTTTAAACATGTTAATACATACGGAAATATGATTAGATATGTTAGATGTATTATCTGATATCCGTAATCATTTATTATCGAACGTAAAAACCCATCATTAATTAGATTTATCGTATACGAGAGAAAAGTCGATATTCTGATAGCAACTACGTATATTTATTTAAATTATTTACATATATAAATCACGATTGTTAGAATTTCATATATAAATTGCTTAAATTAAATGTAGATAATAACAAAAAATTCTTTGTTAAAATATTCCAAGTTAAAATTTTCCTTGTTGCTATAAGGAAACTTCGTCTCTTGGTGTGCATCGAATAAATAAAAACACCAATATAAAATCCCACATATCATTGAATAATGTCATGTATAATTATGAATCTATAACTTAAGAAAAAAGATATGTAGTTTTCACCTGTCTTGGCGGATGTGCTTGACGTAGCATTAGAGCTCCGTGGAAGAAGTCCTTTACAATTATTTCCACCCATTTGTGCGTTCAAGTAATGCCACTCACGGACGGTATCTTAACTGCGTTATTGTGATATCTATAAATCATCTGACTACTTTGATTCCTACAATTACTCATACTTACATCGCTAAAGACAGTTTCAACTACGGCAATCGACCTTGCGCTCTACTACTGGTAAACTATTTTAGATAAACTTTCACTTATTCGTGGAACAATAGATTAGAAGTTATCAAGACACTACTTCGACGAAGTTATTTTAAAACCTGTTAAAAATTGTAGTACATTAAGACGTTAGCGATAGTTCGTTCGCATAATATATTAAGTACTTAATTTAAAGAGAACTTTAGATTAAATATTATTGTTTTGATTATATTTTTAAAAAAATATTAAAAACCAACTTTTATATTATCCGAAATATAAATATTTTATCATTAATATTATATAACAGTTTTTATTTATACAATATAGTTTAGTTTAGTATTTGTTTAATATATTTTCTGAATTCGTAAAATAAATTTAAATATTATAATATATAAGCTGTTAGTTTTAAGAGAAGAATACGAACATACTATCATTTTAACTTCATTCGACACATTATGACTAACGGCAACTTGTTGCAATGATTCAGAGAGCGTTCATTTTCGCTTTTAAAGGAAAGTTGAAATCGATTTTCGTATAAAGCGATGTTGCGCATATACGATATGGCACGAACAAATGATACAATATAGATTAGCTTGCAACAGATGTGAAGGAGTCGGCAGCTAAGGGCGCTTCTCCGCAGAACGCCGATCGAATTTAAACGTTGATTATCAGAAACGTCACGCATGCGCAGAATAAGAACTTTCTTGTCTTCCATGTTGATTTTTCACAACTAGACACGACTTCATTTTTAGACGACATTCCCTAGGCGTTTGTATATGAATATCGAGAGCAGTTTATACGATCGTGGTTACAACTCAATTTTCGGTCGGTTTTTCCTAGGTTTCGATATATTATATACGTGTCGAGATCATGACAGATCACAAGACTGGATTATGAGTACCGCTCATAATCTAGATGATGTGTTCGTACATGGTATTCACTATGATATAATTTTTATATTCTTTAAAATTTAGATGAACCTATCTCTTTTTAATGTATAAAAGTAATACAAACTCATGGTTTCATGGTCTTATAATTTTGTTCGAGTATATTGTAAAAAGCAATACTGCGTGTAACATGTACTAAATCACTAATATAGTAAGTTAGAGAAAAATCACTATAGAATTATAATAGTAATACTGTACGCTATTCAGTATACATAATATGATTGGCGAGGAAAGTATAGTACTTTGTTGAAATATATAAACTTTATGAATATATACTAGAAACTAGCCAATAAAAATAGAAATAGCAGAAACAATTACGCTGTCATGTATAGCCTAATTTTAAAATCCAATGAGTTTTTAAAATAAATTTAGAGAAATAAAATCCGATAACAAATTCGAAACAATTTCAACAGAATATTTAGTAAAACTAATTACTAAATGTTAAGGTTATAAATATCTAAACCTATCAAACGGTAGTAGACTGACTGTCAAAGCACTTGCACCGTAGTGCAAAAATTCGCACATTCCATTAGTATTATTCGATAAATAAATTGTAAAATACATTAATGTTATAAAATGAGATTGATTTGATTTTCTTATACGTCGTAGAAAATAAATAATTTTAATAATGCAAACGATATATATCTTCATAAGTTTGTTAGTCAGCGTTTCATCGTTAGCTCGTGGGGTTAGTATATCTTCCAAATTTTTATAATGTTTGATATTTTATCGTGTTTTAAACAGCCACTCAAATTTTAGAGCGAACTCGATTATGACGGCTGGTTACAATTACGATTATGGCACGCATTTAACGACGAGCCAGAGCCCATTTTTATAGAACGAGGTAACGTCACAGTGTCAAGTGTTCGTAGCGGTGCTTCTGTTGTTGGACAAAATGGATTGTTACAACCTCATATAAACGAATTAAAAAACCTTGCTAAACATGATGGCAAATACAGACTTAAAGCAGTAGCTCGGACCTCTTCAGGAAATGAAATAACATTTCTAACTTCTGTACCTGCGGTAATCTTATTCCTCTGACTATGCTTTCACTTTATATATACATATATATCTATATATACGACTTATAATGTTTTCTCCACGCGTAGTGTTATATTCTCGGTTCTGATCTTGAAGATGTTATAACAATTTGGCTGGATAGCGCAGCCGAGCCAATAGTTGTGAGTGTATCGTCGCCTGGTCCTTGTAGTACAGAAAGTCCGTTTACAAATATGTGGACAACCAACATTATTGTTAAGTATCCTGATGGTGGACCAGTTCCAGACACTGCTACATATATTCAGAAACTTGAACGTGAAAGAGAAGCAAGAGAAAGAGGAGATGCGAAAGATAACAGATCTTTCCTTGCGAGATATGTAGGTTTTTTGTTCTAAACAATGTTTGTATATTTAATTTTTTCAAATTCAGTTTATATATTATTGCTTTGAATTTCAGTGGATGTACATTGTCCCTGCATTAATTTTTGTTGTTCTATCATCCGCAACAAATCCAGAAGCTGGGGGTGCAGGAGGAAGTGCCCAAAGACAGTAACATAAAGTGTATTGGTGCCTCGAAGAGTGTTTGTGTGGGAACCGTTTATTTATAAACTTATAATGTACTTTCATAATTATAGTTATAAAAATTATGATTGTATCTTTTCCTGAATAAATTCTATGATTTAATTAAAATTTATTGTTTATCTTTTGTTTTATCATTCTAACTAGTAACATGTAGAACGAAAATTTTGTATAATGCAATATACATGCATTAGAATGCTATAATACTTGTGAAAGTTAGCTGTTATAATCATATAATCTTCCTATATGTACAGTTTACTATATCAGGTAATGTTCAGACAGGTAAGGCAGGGAAAGATCAATAATCTGCCACCCAATGAACAAGGCCACAAACTGTTGCCATTATGCATTAGAATATGTGTAGCCACTCAAGCTGATCTTAAAATGGCAGCGTTTTCTCTAAATATTCAAAAACACGTGGAGCCTGGCCTTGTAACTTCCGGTAAATTCGATGGTTCTCATGCTTGCCTAGCGGCTGCAACTTATGGTGGAAATATTTTGGTACACAGCCCTCATAGGCAACCACAAATAACCGACCAAGACCACGAACAATCCGACAGAAAAGTATCTTGGAGCGGAGAACTCGCGGAACTTCAGATAGGAACCGAGGTATAATTAATTAAATAATTATAAAGATACTAATAAAAACTAACTTTTACTACAAATTAATCAATATATATATGTATATTATTAGATTACAGCATTATGCACTGGTCGACTTAGTGATGACGAGAGAGATATTCTTCTAATTGGAACTGCATCTCATATTTTGGCCTATCACATAGAAGACAACTCTGATGCTTTTTACAAAGAGGTACCGCAATTATTAGACTACAGATACTTATGCATTCATTTGAAATTTAAAGGCGCATAAAATATATATAATATGCAAAAATACATAAAATATACGAAGTATATTACTTGTTATAATATTTAATGGATGATCTGTACATAGGTTTCTTAGGTTGCCTGGATATATGTAAATTTGCATAAAAATCCGAAGGTCACTTATCATACTAAAACTCAAATAAATTATATTGTTTTTATTAGATGTCTGATGGTGCAAGATGTATAATCGTTGGTAAATTAAGTTGGCTTCCAAATCAAGTTGCAATCGTTGGTGGCAATAGTTCGATAACAGTTTTAGACTCACAAGGCACAGAGATATTTTGGACAGTACTAGGAGGTATTGTAACTTCATTAGCTGTTTTTGACTTCGATGGGGATGACGAAAACGAGGTAAATTGTAATAGGAAATAAGTCTAATAAAAATCCTTCTCTAATAAATACAAACAATATTTAGTTAGTCATTGGGACCAGAGATTTCGAAATAAAGGTGTACAAGAAGGACAGTTTACTCTGGGAAGCTAAAGAAACAGCTTCGATTACCACTCTAACCGGCCTACCTAATAGAAGATTCGTTTATTCAGTAGGAAATGGGACTCTTGGTGTCTATGAAACGACTCAAAGACTATGGCGTGTCAAGGTCACTCTAAATTACAGAATACAAGTACCAAGAAAGAAATCAATATACGATGATTGAATGTAGGTCGTAGGAACGTTCGTTTTCATAAATTTTTCAGTCGAAGCATCGGGTGGTGGTCACGAGGAGCTTTGATTTGAACGGAGACGGTGCACCGGAAGTCATAACTGGTTGGAATAATGGAAAGGTAGACGCAAGGTCATCCAATAACGGCGAAGTAATTTTTAAAATTCAATTATCCGCCGGAATAGCTGGAATCGTGGAAGCTGATTACAGGAGAATCGGCAAATCTGATTTAGTCGTAGTGTCTTCTATTGGCGAAGGTAGAATAGAATGTGTATACCATATACGCATACAGTGATAGACTAAAAAGATTGACAGGAAGATTTTTCGAATTATATTTTAGTGCGCGGCTATGGTTCCGGTTCCGCGATGGATACTCCAGAACCTGGCGAGGCGATGCGCGATTTATTGGCGAAAAGGCAGATCCTCCAAATGGAGCTTAGGCAGAGGGCCGCGTCTGTTCCGAATATGTTCCATGGAACGAAATTGGCAGTGAGCTTGATGACCTGCAATGGTGCGGCTCGTGTTGCCCTCGCGTCTGGACCTGGACTTTTTGTAAGTCGATCGGTTCTTGCATAAAACTAATTTTTGTCTTTTTGAAATGTTCTTTAACGCTTTCACGGCACAATAAAATAACGAAGAATTCGGAACGGTCGATGTAGAAAACAATGATTTCTTTATCTTTATAAAATTTCTCATATTTGTAGCATCAAACGTAAAAGATACATACATTCATCATTTTTAGACGAAATAAATTTTAATACTGTCGTACATTTACTCTGCCCAAGATGTATTGCGCGATAGTTTTCACCGAAGGAGTGTTCGAAGGCGAAACTCTCGTTGTCCATCCCAGCAGACCTAGAGGGGAGCTGGAAATAGAGCTTCGTCCTCCGAAGAATGCCCCTGTCGATATGCACGTTAAAGTATGCGTTGGTCCAGCTGCTGCAGATTTGTTACAGGTACCGTATAAAGCAAGGGGCATTTACAAAACATTTTACCGCATAGTATTCTAGTACAGCAGAATTTCATTTATCCGAACGAAATTTTAATGCTCGGTTAACTGAACTTTTGCTGGTTGAATTCATTTATCCAAACGTGAGCTCCTATTATGCGAACGAAAGATAGTTGATGAGATCCTATTATATTACACGTATAAATTGTTTATTGCCCGACAAATTCCGACGAACGAGGTTTTATTGGAAATTTTATTTCGATATATAAAACAAGTTTGTTCAATTTCTATCCTGACTTCTTTACTCCATTTAAGGTGTTCGAAATGACGCGCCAATTGCCGAGATTTTGCATGTACCAGATCATCGAACGGCCTGCGCAAATAGCGGAGGACTTTGCGAAAAATAGCGTCACAGCTGAGGTATTAGTTTTAATTTGTTGAAAATTCACATTTATTTTCATCTGCTTATTTTTCTAACTTTTCTACGCATCCTTCGAATAACTATCACCGCTGCTATACAGTATATCTATTTTTGGTTAATCAGTTTGCGGAGAGACCTCAAAGAATCGCTCTTTGGTTGAATCAGAGTCTCATCCTTCCGGAAGAGTTCGAAATTCAGGAAGACAAACCAAACAACGGAGGTATTGAAATGTGGCTTCGTGGTATGAGAGACAACAAGATTCATTGTTTCATGTCAGACGCAACGGGAAAAGTAACCGTTCAAACAGAAGATTCTACATTTGCTGGCGACATTATTCAGTCGTTAGCCTTGTACTTGGGCCTTAGAGAGCTTTCTTCCGAAGTTTCATTTCCGGCTGAAGAGAAGAAGATGTTGGACGCCTTGGAACACGTCAAAGGTGACTCAAAGTAATAATTAGATTGCGAATATATTGATACAAATTCGTATTTTCATAAATATAATTAAAAAGATGGAACATAGGCTTAGGTAATGGTTGTCCTCTTTATGTGGATTTTCGCATCTTCATGTTTCCCATAAATGCGTAGAAATCCGCAGTCCAACGATAAGAAAAGATATATTTTATGGCTTTCAGAGAATATCGGAGGATAATTTGTTTATTTGTTGCAGAGTTAAAGGAGATTGATACCAGACTGCAAGCAGAGGCAGCTAATGAAACAGTTTTACTGAAGAATATTATAATTCGCTTGGAGGATGCAAGAATTCTCGAGAATATCGATGAAATGAGAAAGAGGCTCGTACAGTTGAAAAATGTTAATGTCGATCTGATCAGGGAACACGAAATCAGAATGAAGAGTTATAGAGAACTCACGGCGAATTTAAAAGAATTAAATCTCGGAGTGCAACGTGCAGCTAGATTAAGAGGTGATATTTTTTATCTTACTTTTGCTTATTTTCCATTTGCTCAAAATAAAGTGTTATTAAAATTTGTATTTATAGTTGGGAAAAGTGCCTCAAACACAATAGCCCGTTGTAGAGCAGCGATCCAGGACGAGAATCCGAAGGCTCTCACGATGGCGATAAGACACGGATGAATTCAGGGACGAATTTACCTTGACGCTAATGTCACTGTAAGCGTTGGGTGCCGGAACGCTATGAGGACCCCAAAAGAGCTTTGCAGGGTTTTTACATCTTCTAGATTGCGTGAAAAACAATTGATCTCTTTAACAAACTGGCTTAAAATGGGAGTTTTCAGGACAGTTGTTTCGAGGACTGGTCATCGCATCGTGTCGTCTGTTAATTAATGAGAACCAAAGTGGAAGAACTTTAAAGCAAAGTTCTGAAGCTCGAAACTCGAAAAATAGCTCTGGTCGTGATCAAATTAGTTCGAGAAATTCGTGGGAGATAGGAAAGTCATAGGAGACGGAATCATAGGAGATAGATAGGAGACGTCTCATATTCCAGGAATTTTTCGAGGTTGCAATTTTCGAAAGTTCTAAAAAATCACCTCAAATTCTCGGGATTTTTTAGTGTTTACATGCATTGCCTTGTTTATTTATTTTTTACGTCCGTTTATTCATATCCTCAATGATCATGAAATTTTTCTGAATTTTTGACGTTTTACGTATTCTAACTGGCGAAAATTACAAGGAGAGTGAGAGGTGGACAAAGTTAAAGATGAAAGATACGACATTGGAATTTGCTTTAGAAAATCTATTTATTGATTGAATTTGAGAAATTATACAATAATCTTTACAATTAGATATACATTGTAGGATATGTATATGTTAATAAATATAACTTAATCGTAATTTGAATAATCTATAATTCATACTTATCTTTACGAAATAATTATTGTGCAAATTTTATTTCATCGAATTTCTTAACATCAATATAATTTACAGTTAAATATATACTCGACAAATACCAGCAATAATTTAAATACATTAATATCACACGTAAGAGAAATATTTGAGGTACTAAACAGAACTTATCGATCGTTTATTTACCGCTTAATCAGCAGATTTTTCTTTAAACTTTTTATTTCCATGAAACATATAACGATTCGAAACTCCATATTGGCCGATAGTACATTTTTAATAAATCGCGTTAAATCCAAAGATAAAGCAGTCCAAAAATATCTCTCACTGACATATTTGTGGTTCTTCGGCTTTTGATCATGTTTCAATAGCGCATATTGCAGTTCACTCAGCAAAGACTAGGACCACGAATATGTTATTTAATAATCTAAAAATATAGTTTAAAAGTTTAAGATCTAAAAATATATCGCAACGTGTGAAAAGATTCTAAAAATATTTCTCAAAGCGAAAAGATTCCCAAAATATTTTTAAAAACGAACAAAATACGCCTTTACAATACAATAAACGATCACGATACTACAAATTGACAACGAACAGTCGATATTTCTCAAAACTCGAAGGATTAGAACAGGAGCTTTATTAGAAAGCGCGTAGTTTTAAGCTGTAAGCTTGTGTTCGCTTAATGAAGGGTTCCTCGAACGGAGATGCTGAATCTTCGTTTGAGCGGAACAGGCGAGGGGCGTCGAAGAGCGTCCAAGGTGCCGTCAGTGGAGGCTCTCACCCTGAAGGAATTTGTTTGCTGGCCAGAATTTCCCGGCAATTCCGTCAACAGCTTGGAGATGTCGGTGAAAACGGCCATGACCTGTCGAATAAAAATAATCGAGTCAGTCCGCTGCTATCGTTACGTAACCTCGCGGGATTATCTGCTCAACCGCTATGACGATTATATTTGATATATATTTTTCTCTCATAAAGTACGTTTAAAACCAGTCTCATTATCGCTCATGCCACTTTTTCATTTGTGCTTGTGCGTAACAGTTTGCGACACGTGTAGAACAAGTTATAGACCCCCTTTCTTTTTACCTTTTCTTGCTCGTACATCCACCTGAAATTCTTTCAAAGAAGAACATATGGTATCGTCCATTGGATCGTAACATAATTTTGGTCTGTTTCTATATTTATTATACTAAGTGTCATAGCGTAAGGGAAGAATATTATTGTTGTATGGCGTTAAGATGACGCACTGTGGCAAAGCGGAAGAACCATGGAAACCATTCAGAGTGCCGAAAGGCCAGAATAAAATAAAATAAAATAAATAAATAAATAAAATATATTCGTTACAGAATAACGCGATAGTCTCGTTAGAGCGTTAACGAAATTTCGAGATGTTTCGTACAGCATACGTAATATATTTTAGACTCTAAATCGTCATCGTGATCGTTACACGACGTATTCGTGGTTCTTCGAGTCTCGATCGATTTTTAATAGCGCGTTGCGTTTCGTTCCGACGTTTCTCGAACGTTACGTTTCGCTTCTTCGGGGCTGAAACGATTTCAGGGAACACTCCCAGCCTTGAAACGTATCAGAGTAAATTCGAAGCTCGGTCCTCGATACCACGACCGCGCCATATATCGTTTCCACCTAGTACACATAATTAATTGTGAAACAAATCTTTAATTACGATAGGCACGTTTACGATACCGATAACGCTGGAACGATCGTTTCGAGATGGCCGCCGTATCGCTCGCGTTCCGCCCGCTCCACGATACAGATTTTGTTTACCACTCTGCGATCACGCGTAAACGCCATGACCGGTTTCCCGGAGAAGTAAACAATCGTTTTAGAAAAATAACGAGGCTCGCGATTAGGCTCGACCGCGGGATCGATCGCGACAAAGCGATCGATTCGCCAACCGCTTGGTTCTCTCTTTCTCTTTCTCTCTGCGTTCTTTCGCCATTGAAATAGACGAGTAATAGCGGAACTCCAGCTGAGATTTCCGATCGACGGGGGCTTTCTTTCGCGATCGATGACGTGTAACGTTACGTCAACGATCTCAATGTCATATCGTCGCGTACGAGACTCCACGAATATTTAACTCGTCGAGATATCAAACGCTTGTCTGCCGAAGCTTTCGTGTCGGATGACGTGGTGTTGTGTCTGGCTGGCTCTCTACCAAATTTTAGAAAATGAAGCAAGTGCACGATCGTGATCCTCCATCGTTCGAGGAAGAAAAGGAATTTTTGAGGATGTTCCGAATGAATTCGTATAACAGATATGTATATCAGATTATATCGTAGATTTGGAATTTATCGAACCATTTGATCGAACGAAGATTACAGGAGAAAAACACGATAAGTACGTATTTTCGTCGACTTCCTCGTCCACTAATTTCATTTTACGATTACAGGACAATTCGAATATGACATGATCGAACATGAAAGCAACACGTTGCTTCTTTTGTAATACTAGCCGATAAATTGAAGTTTATGAATTTATTTTCCAGTGTTAGTTAAATAGAATTTTAAAAATATATGCGAGCTTCTAATACGAGCGATGGTATATCGCTCGGAGGAAAGATCGTTACGAAACGAAGTGGCATTTGTGCAATGAATTTGTTATCTCGTAATTGTTTACCTTACGAATAGCATAGATAGTAATTTACAGGTCGGATGGCCTGTGCCTCAGTCCTTGCCATCTAAGGTTAAAGGTACGGCAAAAGAGTCAATGTCAGTGTTACGTCAAAAGCTCGTGGTTTTATCGTAATAGACGCAACGCCGCACCGCGCAATGCCGTGTCAACGACTACTGACTTTTCTAAATGTGCATTTACACAATTTTCAAACTTTTTCCCCAACACGCGTTCAAATACGACAATTTTATTTTACATCGCTTTTCATTTATTTTTGCATCGTTGTTGTCGTATTATCGACTTGCAGAGTCGATATCGCGTAATGTTACACTTTGTAATTTGCATGGTTAAAGATTTAGCAGATACAAAGCAGTATTTTTGATAAAAATAATGTCGCTACAAGTTGGTTCGTAACATTTCTAACATGGAAAATGTCATCGACGTAGTACCATGTCTTTTTCGAGGTCAGGTTAAAGCGCATCGACGCAGCATTGGCAATGGATCTATTATTAATACGCATCTAATTATGGAAGGTAAAGGCCAAGACGAAGGGTGCTCGGTATACGAATAATTATTTTCATGGAAAGAAAATACAAATTTTGGTATTAACGTTACCTGTTCGACAGATTCTCTGACGGAAATTTCATGAAACGCGTGGGCCTCGATCTCTTCCGCCCTTTGACGCCCTTCTGCCGTAGAAACTACCCTTTCACCAGGAGTGTACGTTAAATCTGCTTTATTCGCTATTAGGATTACTATCGGTGGAACCTTCCTAGTTTTCCTCGCGTGTGATACTAGAAATCTGAAATAAATATCGGGTAAGAAATACTAATTGTAAATTTTTATCAGACAGAATTGTAGATATTTAAAGATATATTTATGACAGCATAATGTAAACAGTGAGATGCGATTCTATGCGAATTTGTGGTAAAAACGCTTTTTTAATTCGGAACGAACGTTGATTGCGAATATTTAATAGAATATAATATCAAACGAATATTTATCGTAGAAGAAAGGTTGTAGAGAAATTTACCACGAGCATTATCTTTCAAAAATTCCGTGAGAATTTTGTAGAAAAGATATTTTTCGTGACGTATCCCGTGTAATGTAACGATCAACGATTTAAAAATAGCTAATTATGTTCATCAGTAAATTCGCGCGTCACTTGACAAATTATATTCCCCTTCTTTGATTATTAATTCATTACGCTTCTTTATCGATAGAAACGTTACATAGACTAAACACTGTTATTCCAATCGGTGTTGTTCGAATCGGTGCGATTAATAAATTTTCTTACCGAAGACGAGATGTTTCGTCGAAGCTGACACGATCCGACACCGAGTAAACGAGAACGATAGCATCTGCCCACCGTAATTTCAGTTCGGACGGAGGTGGTAGATATCCTGGGGGATCAGTTATCTCCCACGCCGCATCCAGGAAACTGTCCACTTTGTAAACCCTCTCGATAGAACAATCGTACTCCCCTATATACCGTTTCGTCGCGAATCGCACTGCCAGGGCTATCGATCGTCAATATGTTAGTGTTTGCCAAAGATAGAATCATCGCGTAATATCGATCTCACGTGGAGGCCTCGAACGTTTGAAAATTTGGAAACTCGAGAAATCAGAAATTTAAAAATTCGGAAATTTAAAAATTCGGAAATTTAAAAATTCGGAAATTTAAAAATTCGGAAATTTAAAAATTCGGATGTCTGGCAATTCGAAAATTCGAAAAGTCGACAGTTCGATAATTTAGATTATTTGGAAATTCGAAGATGTTTAAAGATTTTAGAAAATAAAAGATTTAGGAATTTGAAAATCCGACAACTGGAATATTAAAGTCGACTGCCTGTAAAGTATCCTGAGATATTTGAAATATTATAATTCTTAAATTGGATTCTTACCGGTTTTACCAACGCCCTGATGTCCCAGTAGGATTACTTTGACAATTCTCGGATCCCTGCTAGTGAGGCCAAGATTCCAAGCTATCGGAGGGCTAATTCTCTTCCTCAACGACGTTGCTGGCGGACTGAATCTCTCCATGACTTAACTGTCACTGAATTCCCTCTGGGGTGTCTCATCGATTATGAAGCCTCTCTTTTTCCCGCTGATATTTAATAGACGTGTTTATGCACGCATTCTTCCTGCTACCTTTTCCTCCGATCGATCCGCAAACTGGTAAACGAACGATATTCGTTTTAATTTGATCGCAAATCCCTCTCTCTCTCTCTCTGTGTTTGATCTTGCTTTCTATTTACCTTCATCAGCTCTTTCGTTAATCGATTTCTCTCTCTTTCGTAATTGCCAATTATTTTTATATTACGTTCTGCATTCTACATTTTATTTTATTTTATTCTTTTTTCTCATATTATCTTACCGCTTCTTAAATCACTATATCTATTATTTAATTGCCAATTATAATACACTGTCTTGTTTTTTATAGACGCTGATAAGCAATTTGTTTCGTAAAGGAACGAATCGCATTGATTTATCCGATGTCTGCTATTCCCAGAAGTTAGTTTCTAATTTATTACTTTTATTTTTGCTCGTAGCGAGTCCGGGACACGGACAACGTCCAAAATAGAAAGTTTATCAAATCTGGAATACCGAATTCGTTCGATAACCAATTATTTGGGTAATACGGTTATACAGGGATCGTACGATTCCGTGCGAGCACGCGGTTCGGACTCCGCTTCAAGATTATTATCCAATACGTTGCTACGAATCTCGTATTGAGAAAGCTAAAACGTCAGTGTGCGCTTGAACGGAATATGCTTAAACGAACAAATTGTATTCCACGGTTTTCACTCGTTTTCGCACGTAGAATAATCTACCGAGTATTGCCTGCTTCTACCTGGTCGGTAATTAGCTTCGTTCACACGTATTAAGTAAAATTTTCAAATTGAATTTTATCGACGACGAAGCACCGCGTAAGAAACCTTTCATTTCACATCTTCCGTTTATTTTTTCATGGAATCACTTTCTTGTCGATCGGCGGATCGTGATCACCGAGACAGCCTGTGTAACTCGCTAATTTACTTGTCCCTCTCACATCGATTTCCTCGTGCTCGATCATCGAAACTGTCACAAATCGATTCAGGGACATTAAATGGTCCAGGAAGTTTCGAGGGACGCACGTGAATTCCATTTTCAAACTTTCTCGGTCAGTGCGTTCACGTGGTGGCAGGATATCGGGGAATGCAAAGGTCGTTACATACTGGCTTAATCAAGATACGCGATATCAGTGTCGCTGGGTCAAACGTTCGAACAGCTGGTTTCGCAATTCGCGGCCCTCCTCCTGGATGGAATAAAACCGGACATCGCGGCG